TGAGGAGGACCCGACCCTTTCGAACGCCTTCTACACGACCCTGCTCACCAAGACCTGGGAAGAGGTGCCCGATTCCGGGGTGCTGGAGTACCAGGCCGTCGGCACGCAGGGCGTGTACGCGCTGGCCACCGACCTCGCCCTGGTCTGGGACCCCGAGTTGAAGGCCCAGACGGTGGTGTACGCCGAGGACAACGACGAGTTCCTGAAGGAGTTCGCCTCCGCCTGGACAGCCGTCATGATCGCCGACCGCTGCGACGGCCCGACCGGCGACGTCTGCGAAGACTACTACCACGAGGACGACGACAGCGGCAGTGACGGCGTTTACGCTGCGGATGTCGGGGCGGACGCTGAAACGCAGGAGGACGGCGAGGTGGGCAGCAGAGTGACTATGCTATGTGTATTTGTCGTCGGGTCTCGATCTCTATCGAGCACGCCGTGGCTTTCAAAAAAATCCTGAGTTGTCTCACGGTGGTCAGCCGGGTTCGTTCAGTGTTTTCGTCATCTGTTTGGTTGGTATTTCTGGCTGTATTCAGGAGCGAATAGGAGTACGTCGCAACCCCGCGCCTTTACCTGTTGGTCGTGGGGATTATAGTGATGGCTTGTCACGACTGTAGTTTTTTTTGTGTTCTTCGGATTACATTCAACGGTTACATCCTCCAACGGGTATTTGTCCTCCCCCTCTACCCTATCTTGAGCTCACCATCGGGAGAAGAAAATCAGACCCTACCCCTCAACGAACTTATCTCTAGGAGCTACGAATCTCGCACGAGTATGCCCCACATACTCAACCACACCGATAGTTCGTTCCTCTTCTGACGATACTTGCACCTCACTCAACACGTCTTTCCGGCCCCCAACGTTTCTGTAGATATTCACCGTTACTATGGTCAGGATGATTCCGCGGCTCCCACCGTCGCCTTTGGTTCTGCGGGTGGCGTCATCGCTGGTGTTGCTGCTGTTTCGCGCCTTTGCTGCTTGAGCTGTGAGGCGGGCGCGAGCGCGTTGCTGCTACTGGGTTAGCTCCGTCCCGTTGTCATGGTGGAACAGATGCAGAGGGTCAGTCATGCTGCTTGACGACGGGCACCCAAACATCGAGCCCTCATTCGTGAGCTCCAAAACAAAGGGTAGCGGGAGGTGTCGGCTTGCATTCATCGCAGTGAACAGCAACAACAATAGAAGGAGTACTAGGGTTGGCGGCCGCCGCCCCTGGGGCGCACGGCCACCGGGATCACACTATTGGCATATAGGTGGGTCGGTTTGGAAGTACGCCTGTGTGGGCCTGTGGGCAGTATCGTTGTCTGAGCGTGGGAAGCCGTCGCATTTCGTCGAGGGGTCTTACAGTTGTGGCATTCCTCCCGCGCGTCTTCAACGCTATAAACTGTTCATTGCGTCTGTCGATTTTGACTCTTGGAGAATAAACATGACGGGTGGTGTGTGCGAGGAGTGAAGGGTGCGAATGCAAGGAGTTGTCTTGGGGAAGACGCCTTTTTACTCCCTTTACATTATTGTGATATCCTTGATACCGCCAGAGCAGTTACCAGAGGAGGAACCGCGAAAGCAGGCGGGGAGTTCAGCTGGATGCCGAGCTCAGAGATCGATGCATTGTTCGCCAATAGCGGGGCCTTTTGTGGCTTTCGTTTTCACTCCTGTATCCTGCGGACGGTTGGAATCGTGGTTGCTGACGGACGGGTCTTGTGGGTGACAGCAGGGTTAGACAGACTGCAGTAACAAGTTCGATAACCGCCAGATGGGTGGTGTGAGGGATTTAGTTCACAGGTCATTGGTACGTTGGTACGATTCGTCGGATAGACTAGATATATAGTAGACTGTTCCGGAATTCGAAACCGACGATGGACGTATCATTTCCATGAACGGCGTCTGTCATTGTCTGCCGATCAATGCGTGTTTTCGTGTGAAAACACGTGCACCGCGGTGTAGCCATGTCAACCATACCCCGGACTGAACGGACTCTGTTGCAATACGCCTATCCCATGAGGTGCCTACGCCCGAACGAGGTGGGAGTCAATCTTGTGTGGTTCGGTTACATGCATTTCACCGGTGCGACCAAACAACAGCAACAACGCTCGCTCTGTAGTTGAGGACCGCCATCATCGCTGCTCACTTTGTCTAAGCTGCACCCTGCGTCCTATCTTGCATCTCACTACTGAAGAGATCCGATTTGGGATCACCACACAGAAGCAACTCCTCTCCGTAACGTCCCCGCCCAAAATTGGTGAGGCGAGAACAGGGAGAAGGGTCGTCCCGCCCTTCCGTCCGGTTACCTGCTGTCCTACTGCTGTAACAAGCTGATTACCCGGAGCGAATCACGAGTTGTGCCGTTTCGAGGAAATTCATTTTTCGTTGTTCCATCGTTTTACAAATCTATACTTCCTCTCACGAACTTTCTACGGTAAGCCCTGGCACACAAGAACACGACGGTACAGAGGTGCCGAAACATACCAGAACTTGAACTCGAGTGTTTTCCCGCTAAGAGGCACCGCCATAACTCCGGGTTCACAGTCACGGTTGTTGTGGTGGTGATTTTGATGGTTTGACCAAGGCCTGACAGGCAACGGGACATCAAAAATACAAACCTCGATATGAACCTTCGAATTTTCATCAACCGGCAGCACCTTAGTCCCCGCTCCTCTATCACACTTGTGTTGAACCGTTCGCGCGCCCTAGTAACGTACATGGACCTGCAGTAAGGCAACATTTGCCACACGACTAACACTGCCAAGCCACAAAAAAAAAGGGACAACATAATGAGGTGATACATCTATTCGTCACCCTCACTCTTAGGGTGCAATAAACCCTGGGTGCATAGGCCTCTGCGGGGAACGGCGGCGTTATGACCACGATTTGAATGCTGCACCTCGGCGGAACCCCGCGCGCACATTGAACGCACATCCTCCCCAAAATACGAGTAAATACACTGCTGTACATGTCGGCGAATGAATCGGGCCTGCCTGGAAAACCTTACGTAATACGAAGTACATGGGGGTTCAACGAATATCGGGGAGTGAATCGCACCTGCCCTATGTGATATCCAGCCTGGTTCCTCACCTTCGCAAAGGTCACCTTCCTTTCGGGTCTGGAGGGTGAAAGGCACGCACGGTAATCTAGCACGCCGTTCAAGCGATGGTAGTGATTCAAATGATCGAAAAACACAGACACACACAGACGGACCAAAGACAGTACATAGGAAACGGACACTGTCAGACTCAGGGAGCCGGCGGGGTGCTTGGGGGCAAGAACCCCCCGGCCCGCAGGAGGCGTTTCTCTCGCTGCTCCAGCTCGGACGCGTTGACGATTCGGCGGAACCCCTCCGTCTCAACAAACTCTGCCTTGTACTCGGCTTGCTTGATGTTCATTGTGATTGGAGTGGCAATAGTGCGTTCACGAGGAGGAGAACAAGTACGTTGGGCGACAGAAATTGGGTGAAACTTGGAATGAAACTTCATCGATTTCACTGGACAGTGACTGCGGCGGGCGTCAAATGAAAAATAAGTAGTCACACGCCGCCGTTGTGCCTTTCAAGTACGAAGATCCTCTACGAACAATTAGAGGTACATATGCAAGAGCCGACAGAATGACATACAAGAAGTTCGCAACAATCGAATCCCTCAATCCACAAAATGGTCAACATCTGTTTTGAACAGAATTCTGATCGTACCCCCTCCTCATAAACTCCAGGCTGACACTCAACATCGCTTGTGTCCCATGAGCGCTGGCGATAAAGCCGACAAGCCCAAAGATGCGCGCGCGCTTTAAACAAGAACAGCTAGCTTTCTCTGTTGTCATCAATCCATTGCTCATCTCTCTTGACTCTTTTCCTAGATAGAGATGGATTCGTTGGTGAAGTATGTAGAAAATAAAAAACAAAGAAAAAAATAGTCTAATTGTCACCACCAAACGCGGTGGAATAAGCAAACTCCGCGGTGCAGGTGACGGATAAGGTGTTCCCCGAACCTGTCGTTGGCTGGCTAATCCCTGGCAAATCCCGTTGTAGAATGGAAATGCAGGTAGGGAACTAATAGACCCGTTGGCCTTATTGAACAACAATGGAGGATGCATGAATGGATGGCTGTGTTCCGACGAATAAAAAGAAAGCCGTCAATCACCAAGTAAGTTGTCACCTGTGCATGCGGCTGTGACGGAACATACTCTCGCGTCGGAACTTGCAGCGGTGTGGCCCGAACCTCTCGTTGGCAGGCTAAATAGGTAGAAAGACAGTCATTCCAGCATCAAACGAGCTATGCATCCTGTTGTTGTACACTGGACGAGGCTTCAATTTGACGGCGGTTATGCAAAGTTTAGGCACAAATTCGTCGAAATCGGAGCAATTTGGTGCCGGAAGCACCTGCTGCATGCTCGTGTTTCGTGCTTGAGAAGGTCGATCAACGACACAGCCAAACGGTAACGCAGGAGGCGCCAATCAAGCGGCAACATGCTGAGGGCGTCCAAAGTAGCGCAGGACGGCCGATGGTCTGATTCCTCGCGCCCCGGGCGTTCAGTTCCGAAAAGTGCGTGGTTCGGAGCTTCGGAGTGAATGTCATCATTAATTCATTTTCAGTCACTTCTTATTTGGCCGTTCTGTGAGACCTCTAGAGACCGCTACAGTCTCCTAAAGAGGAAACAACAACACAAAGGTGGACGTACATGGTGGCTCGCTGGTATTCGGTCTAAAGAATCTTTTCTTTGAATTCAATTTCATGTCGAGTCGCCGTCGTCTCGATCCTTTGTGAATAGCGACATCCTTGTTGAAAAACGAGAAAATGGGTCACAGCCAAGTTTGGTTAAGCAATGGATGAATGTCACTCGGAAGATATTGCATGTTCTGTTCGAAAGCAATGAAAATTGCTCACTACTTTCCCAACATAAACAACAAGAGATTAAAAAAAGTGTGGGTTCTCGTGCGTACGTACCCCACCCCCCACCCCCCATTCAAACCTTCCTGATCTTCATGTTCTTTGTAGCCAGACGAACAGCAGCGCACCCAAACGCCGGAATTGTGGACGCCAGAATGACTTCTTGCACGAACAAACACCGCGTGCCTTGCCGGAACCCCGCGAACGTCTCGAACCCAAAACCTCCCACACAAGCACAACCAATACACATCGATGAGCGAATGAATCCATCCACAAGAACACCCCAAGATATTATGCACATTAGGCATATCGCCTTCGTAAAGGACGCCGTATTTTTCCCGGACGAAGTAAATGATATCGCAACCTTCCGCACACACACACGCGCGTAAGAGACGCATCGACGCAAAAAGGAGACAAAACTGAGATCACAGCAACCCAACCATCTAAACACGCTCGTACTACCAAACAACGATCATCAACCTCGAGTCATCCTTCCGGTACACATCGGGCTCCAACGAAACCCACATCAGCGGAAACGGAAAAAACCTGGAGATATGTGCGACGTTTTCATGTTCTTAATACGGAGGCCGAACAGTCTGTCCAGCGGTCTCCCCTGCATCTACCCGCACCTGTCGGGGGGCACCGCCAACAACAAAAAAAAGGAGTTCTCACTTCCCTTCCCTACCCAAGCTTTTCGTTGGCCATCCGGTCACCGCTGCCGGCCCATCCGAAAAAAAAAGAAGCCAATCAGCATACCTATAGAATGAATACATTGAGCCACATTGGAATGCAAATTCCGCAACAACGCCCCCGCGACTAGTGCTAAGGTGTGTGCCTCATCCTGCGCACAGACCCCTGCAAGCATCAGGGACTCCATCCCTTCGTTTTCAAAGAACACCATCGCCCCTTCCTGAGGGAGAAAGACGCGGTCGTGCCAGCACCTTCCACTCGCCTCCGGAGGCGCCAGTCCGATACATGCTGCCAGCGGTGATTCATCACCAACATGTGCCGCAGGAGCACCTCCCGTGCACAGAGCAACACCTCGAGTTTGCCGCCACCACCACCCCGCTCCATCGCTGCCGTCATTCTCAACAACTAGATCGCCATCCCTGTCGTGGCCCTTTGCTCCACGGACACCACTCGCGGGGCACAGTCAGTGGACGCCCACGCCCTGAGGGCCTCTCCCCGTATCCACCAGTACCGCCTGCTTCAGCATCAACGCTAGCAGCATCGACCTCTTGCACACCACCACGACTTCCTCGCTCCACAACAGCCCCATCGACATTGGGTATCGCCACAGCAGACGAAGAATCTTCAGCGCTTCCCGCGGGGGGACTGAGTGGCAACAGCCATCCCACAACAGGGGCAAGCAAGCTTGAAGCGAGTGGCCAACAGGGGGGGCCCTCGGGAAAGAGGAAGCGGACGTCGTCACACGCAGGGCGAAGGCGGGGAGTCCGGCGGCAAGAAGCCCCCTGCCTGCAGGAGACGATTCTCTCGCTGCTCTTGCTCGGCCGCATCGACGATTCGGCGGAACCCCTCTGTCTCTACGAACTCCCTCTGGAAGTTGGTCTGCGGGCGTCGATTTCAAGTTCATAGGGGCAACAACAAGACGGCACGAAGCCTAAACAACCGCAATATTGCAGTAGCAAAGCCGGTCGCCCCGGTAATCTCGTTGATATCCTCGAATACCTTCCAGTGGCCAGGCCAGGAGTTCGAATACCGGCGTAAGCGAGATATTCTTGCAAAGTGAATCCTTTTCTCGATTCCATTCCTCATCTGGGTAGAAAGAGCTAGTTCGCGTGTACACAGAGGGAAGGGAGTGCTGTGCTCTTCTCGCAACAAATAAAATATGGCAAATCACCACAGGACGGGTGGGTAGGGAGTCTCAAGGAGACGAACTCTGTGTCACCACGGGTTGGAGTAAACAGCACAAAAGCTGTGAGCGTTGATTCAAAGCGAAGAAAGAAAGAAAAAAAAAGCGCAATAAAACCTTGCAAAATACGGCTGTTAGCTTGGCTATTGGACGGCGCTGGGGTGCAGGACTGGGCAATGGTAGCGTGTGGTTTGGGTGTCGAACCGTTGTTCGGTAGATCGCACGAAGAACGCCCTTCCATTCTGAATGGCGCGCCAATCAAAGCAATGAAGATTTAAGGTAGCTTGTTTCAGGCCCCAACATTTATTTTCTTGTGCCATCAGATGTTCAAGGCGTGGCTGTCGACAAGGCTTTCAAGGCGTACCACCAGACAATGCACAATCTCTCTTTGACAGCCAACGACAACAACAATAATGGGTATTCAGTCGAGCGATAGCCGGAGGCGATGTCGTACCCATGCCCTGTTCGTTCTTACCTCCATAACGGCCAGAACCTCTGCTCTAGCGCGGTCGAAGATGTCGTAGGCCGTCACGTCCGTCGACAAAATCTCCTCCCGGCACTCCCCCGAAATGTTCACCTGCCGCCGCGGCAAATGACACACGCCAAATATTGTTACGAACAGGGTTAGAGTGGGGCTTGCTAATGGTGTGCTCGCAACACAAAAGAAGCAACGCATTTTGCATGCAGCGGTTTAGACTTCCGTCAACAGTTACACCAATGCTCTATTCGTTATGTTGCAAGACAAATACTGGTATTGAAAGACACACCAAAACGAGAACACTACCCACCTGGTCAGGGGCCCCTTCTCTAATATACTGCGCCACGATACGCATCGTTACCGCCTGAAAAGGAACGATAAAAAAGGGGGGAGGTAGGGGCGACATGCGTGTCATTAACGAACGGCAGGCCTTTCAGTTAAAGCCGCATTCGACCGCGCCTCCGTCGCTTATGGCATGCGACGGGTACAAATGGTGAAGGAAAGGGTGGAGGATGTCGCGTGGTCCGTCACCTGTCTGGCGAAGTATTCCTTGATCTCTTCCCTGTCTAGCGAGTCGAGGTAGAAGTCCATCAGCTCTTGGGCCACCTTAGTCTCGATGTACCTCCGAAACTCGGCCCGGAGTTGCTCTACGGACAGCTGCTCTGCAAGGCTAGCCTTGAGCTTTCGGGGGGTTCAACAGGGAGGGGCAGGGAGCGAGGAGGTCAGCACACCCGAGACAACGGCACAGGGGAAAGACGGGGAGGTAGGGATCAACACATCCAAGACGCCTCAATACAATGGTTCGACGAACGCACGAGGGGTGGGTTTGGCAACGTTTTGTTTTTGCAGTCAGCTGCAACGTATCTCGCGGTCGTTGCACGAGACGTTCCTTAGCGTGTACGGGAACGAATTGTGTCCTGGGGCGGGGGGGGGGGGGGGGGGGGGGGGG